AAACTGCACGCAGTCGCGGCCGTCCACCACGGCACGGCCGTCGCATGCTGCGACAGGCGTTGCAAGGCGCCTCGCATGCTGGACAGAAGGGCGGGTTACTCGCGGGCTGAAATCAGGGAGGGGGGGGGGGGGGGGGCGATCCTCACCGCTGGCCAAGGCGGCCGCGATCCACCGGGCTCGCAAGGCGGCCTCGCTCATCTCGACCGTCCACCAAGGCGCGGCAACCTCGACAACCGCGAGGGTCCATGGGTCTGCTCGACCACTTCGACGGCGAGGAACAAGACCCGCTCGGGCTAGGCGGCCCCCTGATCGAGGCCGAAGGAAACGACGCTTTCCCATCTCTCCGTAGTTCACTGCAAAGATAAGCGCATCGACCACGAAAGCCACCCCGACGCGCGCCGACCATGGCTCTCCCACGAGCGCGCCCGAGCCGCGCGCGGCCAACGGGGCCAGGCCGCCACGATTACTCCCCCTCGCCACCGGGCCATGTCCACATCGCACGCGGAAACGGGGGGCAGCGAACGGCCGATGGCCGATTACGAAACAAGCCCCTGTGGGGCGGGGGCCCAGACGCACAGACCGATGGCAATCCTTTCTCGCAGCGCCTCCTAGCGGCCAGACGACAACCAAGGGATGATCGCGAAACGGCCCTCGTCGCTAGCATCAACGCGCAGCGAGAGCGGGCCAACCATGTCGCCCAAAATCTCCAGCATAATCATGGGCCGACACCCCCGTTGTTTGACAAGTTCCGCCAGGCACGAGCCGCCCGGGACGGACGCGTCAGGCTTTTCGACCTGCCACCTATCCTCGGGCGCCCCTTCGACAAAAACTCCAAACATACCTTGTCGCTCAACGCGCGGCGCGCCACTGCTAGTTCCCTCCTCCCCCATTGGACGCCGCGAGCTGTGAAAAATTTGCGCCTGCTCCGTTGCCCTGTTATTTGGCCGCCGCGGGAGACGCCCCAGAGCGGCGCCGTCAGTGTCTGGGCGCCGCGTCGCGCGGGCCAGGGCGCGTTTGCACCCGGCGTCTCTGTCCGCGAGCGCGCAGAAAAAGGCGACCCTCGCCATTTTCATCGCTTCCCGCTTTCGTTTCCCAACCAGGGTCCCCGCGAACCGCGCCGGGGGGGAGGGGTGCTTCCTCGCCCCAATTTTCCAAGCGCCCCCCCTGGCCTTTCGATGTAGGCCCAGCGGGCGCGGGCACCCCGCGGGCCTGGACATGCCCTCATTCTGAACTGGTGCGTTGTCCTTCCACTTTTCCGTCTGCATGTATAGATGTGTGTGTATATATATATATATATATATGCATCGTAAACCCATCGCGCGCGATTCGCGCGCGCTCGAATTCTAGCTAAACTTGATGGGCGAAACATGGAGCATCATCCGTGTCGCTTCTTGCATCCAGGGACTCTCTTGGAGGCCCTGCGCAAGCCTCGGAATCGTATAGAAGGGAACTGCGGAAACGCATGAACCATCAATTGCCATTCGGTATTAAACGACTCGGAGCCCTCGAAGGCTTCCTGGTTCTTTTCTGGAATCTAAGACGTGGTCCATTGTGCAAAAAAAGACCGGGGGCGAACTTGGACAACAAACGGAATGGTGGGATTCCCATGTTTTCCCAAATTGTAGTGCCTGGGCTGTGGGGTAAACGCTTTCTGGAAGCAGGCCAAGGTCTGTTGGGGTGCCTCTCGGGGTCTTCGTGCAAAGGTAAACAGGGGGTGGCTTTGGCAAAAAGGGATTCTAAAATTCCACTGCTTCAACTCATGGGGTCATGGGATCTAGATTGCTACAAAATGGCTTCAGGGGCAGACAAGAGGACACGAAATCTTGGGGCTCTCTCGGGACGGCTCTCGAAGCTCTCTTGGGCTGTTTTGGGGGCCTCGTCGAATTTTTCTGGGAGCCTCTCAAAGGTCTGGGGTGTGTTGGAGGCCTCTGGGTGGTCCCGGGGTCCTCTCAGAAGTCTCTGGAGGCCTCCTGCTCCTGCTCTTGGGCTCATCTGGGGCCTGTCCTGGAGTGGTCTGGAGCTGTCTTGGGCGCCTCTTCGGCAATCCTGGGGCCGTCTTGGCCCGTCTTGGGGGCATGTTGGGCGGTCTGGGGGCGGTCTTGGGGGCCTCGTCTGCCGTCTTGGAGCGTTGAGCGTTGGAAGCTTGAAACGGTGAGAAAACCAAAAACCATTTCAAAACATAGCAGTTAACGATTTTAGGTTTTCCGACTGCTCTCGGACGGCCTCTCGGAGCTCTCTTGAGGTCTCTTGGAGGTATCCTGGGAGCCTGGAGAGCCGCCCGGAAGCTATCCTGGGTTGCTTGGGAGCGTTTTGGGCCTGTCTTTTACGTTATGGGGGTTTCTTGGGGTCGTCCTGGGCTGTCCTTGGGCGCTTTGGGGGCTCCCAGGGAGGTCGGGAAGCGCGGTGTCGGGAGGAGTGGGCGCGTATTTTTCAAGTATAAAAATATGTGATATTACTCTTTTTCTTAAATTCCTCGGTCTTGGAGCGCTGGAAGCCGGAAAACGTGAGAAGGCGAAAAAAGTCAATAAAAACAAATGCCAATCAACATTTTTACCCCCTTCGGGCTCTCTCGGGACAGCTCTCGAAGCTCTCTTGGGCTGTTTGGGGGGCCTCGTTCGAGCTTTTTTTGGGGCCTCTCATTGGAGGTCTCTGGGAGGTCCTGGAGTCCTCTCGGAGGTCTCTGGCGGCCCCCTGCTCCCGCTCTTGGGCTCATCTTGGGCCTGTTCTGGGGTCTGGAGCTGTCCGGGGCGCCTCTTCGGTGGCCCGTCTTGGGCCCGTCTTGGGGACCTCTTGGGCGGTCTTGGGAGCCTCTTCGGCCGTCTTGGAGCGTTGGAAGCATGAAATGGTGAGAAAGCCAAAAACAAATTTAAAACATACAAATTAATGATTTTAGGTTCCCCAGGCGATCTCGGCAAGCCTCTCGGAGCTCTCTTGAGGTCTCTTGGAGGTATCCTGGGAGCCTGGAGAGCCGCCCGAAAAAGCTATCCCGGGTTGCTTGGGAGCATCGTGGGTAATTCTTTTACAATCTGTGGGCTTCTTGGGGTCGTGTCGGGCTGTCTTTGGGCATTGTGGGGGCTCCCCGGGAGGCCCGGAAGCGCGGCACCTGGAGCGCACACGAGATGTAAGCGAGGTGGAGGACGCCCCAGGAGCGGGCTGGTCGTATTTCCTGTTATTGGTTATATATATATATATATGTATATGTATATGTGTAGATATATGTATATATATATATATATATATTCTACGTGCATATATATATATATATATATATATAATATATATATATAGATTGTTCCCAAGCGCGGCTTGCACTTCAGGGTTTTTTTTTTTTTTTTTTTTTTTTTTTTTTTTTTTTTTTTTTTTTTTTTTTTTTTTTTTTTTTTTTTTTTTTTTTTTTTTTATGCCTGTACAACCGATGCATCTGAGTGCCAGCCTCGAGACCCCAAATCTGGCATTTGCAATCAACCGCGCGTCGATCTTCAAACAGACATGCTTGCGTAGGGTAACCTCCCGCAACTAATTCAGAGAGAAGCCAAACCTTCTATTTCTAAGGTAACAGGGCCCTGGTGTCGGTCTGGCTTGTGGCCGCTCGTCGCCGCCACCTGCACCGGGCCTCGGTATCGGTCTGGCCGGCTCGTGGCCGCCCGCCCGCCGCAGTCCGTCGCCGCCGACCGTTCCGTCGGACGGCACCCCCTCTCCAGGGCTTCTCGAGCGCACTGCTCTGCACTGCTTCGCATCGCACTGTGCGTCGATGCTCTGCCTCGTTTTGCACTGCTGGCGTCGCGGCGCTGCACACCACATCAACTGCACCACTTTGCTTGCAGCACGTGGGCTGCACCGCGCAGATTGCAACACGGTCATGGTGTGGGGTCCGCGCTGGCTAACATATGTATGCGTATATGAACTAGTTTCCCTCTGCTCTCCATCACTCTTTTGTCGGTCTTTACATTCGTATAATGAATTATTCATCAGTTCTGCTGTTTTTGCTTTGTCTCCGCTGCGTCCTTTTCTTCATCGTGTTTCTTTTCTCTGTGTCCTCCTCTTCTTCTGCATCCCCCTCCTCCTTGTTCTCCCCCTTTGTCGTCCTCCGCGCCTCTTCCCCGGCCCCTCCCTTCACCTTGCCCACCTCCTCCGCACCAAATCGGCTCGGATCGGCGGTGCAAGGCCCTTCCTGCCGAGCGGAGCGCGCCAGGAGCGGCGCCAAAGGCACCAACAAAAGGGTCCAACACCGATCCAAAGCATCCGCGCGGACGTTGGGAACCTTGTGCTTATGTCGGCGCTTCTGTTTCGGAAGTGCAAGGCGATTCAAGGGAGGCGCAAGAAGTGGCGACGACCGATTCGCCCTCGCCCTCGCCGTTCCCGTTCACCCATGTCGGGTCGGACGATAAGGGGAATTAGAAAAGGGGGGCTACAGTCGACCCGTATCATAAAGACGCGCGACAAGGATGCAAAGGGGCCTTGGAGGGCCGTGCCGAAGCTGTTCGAGCGGGGCGCGGCCAACGAAAGTGGCCAAGGATGGACCGTGGAGGCAAGGATGCAATGGCACCCTTGGGAAGGTTGCCACTCTTACTAATTATGCGGGGTGACTGTAGCGAATCGGCTGCGCCTGTAAATCTATCGAGGAACAAGCGCCCGGCGGCGGGGCCGAAACAAGTTGCACGCAACAGACTTTTGACCCCCCCTTCCCTATGCACTCTCTCTTCGTCCGATTGGACGCCCCCCCTCGATCTTCTGAGCGGAACGCGGAAGAAACTCGATCCTCCCCCTCGTCCTCCTCCTACTCCTCCTACTCCTCCTCCTCCTCCTCCTCCTATTCCTACTCCTCCTACTCGTCTTTCTCCTCTTCCTCCTCCTGCTCCTCCTCCCCCCCTCCGTCGTCGCCAGCGGCGCCAGGCGGCGCGGGGGAGGACGAGGGCGAGGACGAGGACGAGGACGACGGCGGCGAGGACGACGTCGGTGGGGGCCAGCGACGGTGGCGGCAGCGGCGGTGGCGGCGGCGCCCGCTGCGGAGCACATCGCCGACAGCACCAGCATCCGCAGGAGCGGCCGGGACCGCAACGCCTCTCGGGGGGGACGGGGGGAGGAGGAGGAGGAGGAGGAGGAGGAGGAGGAGGAGAAGGAGGAGGGGGAGGAGGAGGAGGAGGGAGGAGGAGGAGGAGGGGAGGGGAGGGGAGGAGGAGGAGGAGGAGGAGGAGGAGGAGAGGGAGGAGGAGGAGGAGGAGGAGGAGGAGGAGGAGGAGGAAGAGGAGCAGCAGGAGGAGGAGGAGGAGGAGGAGGAGGAGGAGGAGGAGGAGGAGGAGGGAGGGGGATGGGGAGGGGACGGTTGGCGGCGCGCCCAGGGGGAGAACGAGGCGGGCAAGACTGCTTAGAAGGAGGCGGGGACTCTCAGAAGCCCCCTCGCCCTCTGTGGAGCTCCGAAGTAGAGTCGAACAAACCCGTCAGGTGGGCCCAAGGAAACCCTCAAAGAAAAATGTCTGAGGATGTGGCCACATATCGTGACAAACCATCGGCACGGCTTGCAAATGGTCATCACGACAAGAAGCGGAACCATCCCTTCTGGCTTATGCTTATGATACTATGCTGCTGCAGGTGGACCAATTCGGAATCAAATGAACGACAGATCTTTGTCGTGCAAGCATTTGGCGCACTGCTGCCCTGAGCGGCCCGGAGCTCTTTTGAAGGAGCGCGGCTAGCCTTACAAACGGCCAGAGTGTAAGACCAATTGCCGTAGAGCACCATCACCACTGATGCAGTCTGATTGTCAGAACCGATCGAGATGACGTGTGAGCACTTGGGCAACGATCAAAAACGGGTCTTACGGGAGGTGGCGTCCGCGGGCCGCCAGCGCGTCACGCTACATTGGAGGCGAGGGCACCTACGCGCGAGCTTACGCGGGCAGCTTACGCGCTCAGACGAGCCCCTTTTTTGGCGTCGCTCACTTGCCTTTTAGCCACTGGGACTGGGAGGGCAAGAGATTGTGATGTTTCTCTTCGTGGAAGGCCCCCGTCGCCACCGCTGGATTCCCATCGATCTCCTGAATCAAACCGCCTTTCAGGACAAATCCAGGAGTGGATTTTGAAGGGGTTTGCGAGCAAAGAAGCAGTATGGCCAAGCGTCCTGAGGGATACGTGAGCTGGTCGGTAAGGACACTAACGGCTCCTGCCATGGTTCGCCTTGGCTGACTCGTCGCAATTCGCCTGTACTGCAACTTCGAGCTATACGCGCTTCGCGCCTTTTTAGGTTCCAGGCACGCACGAGCACGAGGTTCGTGCTGAATCTATGGGGGATGGGGGAATTCTGCCTGCTGTGCGCCATGCCACACTCCTTGAACCACCTCGATCGGGGACGCACACCCGCACATAATACACCTGTGGTCAGTTTGTATTGTGCTTCCCCTCATCCTAAGTGGGCTTCTTGTTTTCTCTGGACACCCCGCCAGGAACCCTTCACCCCACCTCCTAGAATCATCATTATTATCATCATCGTCATCATCATCATCATCAGCATCATCATTAGAACCATCATAACCATCAACACCACAATCACCACCACCACCATCACCATCGCATTCACAATCACAATCAGCATCATCATCTTCACCAGGTTCGACCATGAACAGTCATCATCCTCGTAATCATTTGCATCATGCTCATCATCACCATCCGCACTCATCATTTGTTGCGCCTCCTCAGGCTTGAGTATGGAGGAAAGCTCGAGCGGCAGCCTCGTCTCTGTGCGTGGGTTGTGAGAACGTCTCAGGCGGGAGACCCCCAAATGGGGCCCGCAAATCATGTTGACAATCCCACGGGATCATCTTCAGACCTGTAACTGTCGTCACTTTTGGGCTTCTCAGATTCAAATATGGAGGAAGTCTCGAGCGGGAGCCTCGACTGTGCATGAATTGCTAAGACGTCTCAGGCGGGACTCTCGTCCCTATGGGGCCCACAGATCATATTACTCATCCGGGCGGGTAATCCTCAAACCTGTAACTGTCGTCACTCTTGAAATCCTCAGGCCTGACTATGGAGGCCTCGAGCGGAAGCCTCGTCTGAAAATGAAGTGTAAGGAAGTCTTAGGCGGGATTCCCGTCCCTATGGGGCCGCAGATGAAGTTACGATTCCGAGCGGGTCATCCTCATACCTGTAGCTGTCGTCTCTTTCGGGCTCTTCAGGCCTTAACATGGCGGAAAGCTCGAGCGGCAGCCTCGTCGGTGAATGACTTGCGAGAACGTCTCAGGCGGAACTCCCTCCCTATGGGGCCCGCATCAGACGTTATGAATCCCACCGGATCATCCTCAAACCTGTCACTGTCGTCAATTTTGGGCTCCTCAGGCCTGAGTATGGAGGAAGTCTCGAGCGGAGCCTCGTCTGAAAATGAATTTCCAAGAATCATCAGGCGGGAACCCCCTCCTTGTAGAGCCCGCATATCACGTTAAGAATCCGAGCGGGTTATCCTAGAACCTGTAACTGTCGTCACTTTTTGGCTCCTCAGGCTTGGGTATGGAGAAGGTCTCAGGCGGGAGCCTCGTCGGTGAGTGACTTGCGAGGAAGCCTCAGGCCAGAGCCCCCTCCCTCTGGGGCTCGCGCCTCATGTGATTCAATCTCAGCGGGTCATCCTCAAACCTGCTAAGTGTCGTCACTTTTTTTTTGGGGGGGGGCAGGCCACCGACAATAAGAGATGGTGTCGAGCGCTATCCTGCACGGGAAGGACCTGGCAGGAAGAAGCCGCGACAACACGGCGCATCGGCAGTGCATGACAAACTACAAAAGGCCAAGACAATTCATGCGTATTACAGCCGGATGCCAAGGCGCCCCACTGCAGCCACTGCGTATTACAGTGGTGGGCGGCGGTGGGAATTACACCGGCATGGCATGGAAGAGGGAGGAGGGAAAAGGGGGGGAGGGGGGGAGGGAAGGAGAGAGGGGGAGAGGAGAACAAACTGATAACTATAGTCACAATGATCGGCCAGCAATAGCGTCGGACAGCTGCTTCACTCTGGGCGGAGCATCTGCGTAAACCTCAGCTGCCGGAGCGCGCGGATCTCTTGGACTGCCGCTGAAAGCCAATCCCTGGCGCGCGGGGCGCGGCGCCAGGAGGCGCCCTTAAGGGAGCCCAGTGCCGATCCAAGAAGTCCTCAGAAAACCAATGTTTGTGTAACTATTTTTCTTCGAGAGCCTCAATACTTCATCTCCCTCCTCCTCCGCCCACCGCCACCCCGACAGCAAGCCACCCACCCCTCGATCTCGGCAACATGCCGGGGCATCGTTTCTTGATGGGCTGGTGGGGTCACGCGAAGCTTCTAGACTTGTTAAATCAGGCCGACGGCCAGCAGGGTGCATGCACGCAAGATTGGACCATTGACACCATTCTCAATCCTCATCCGTTACTGGAACACTGAGCACATCCGTTCTCGATGAATTCGGCAGATGCGCGCGCGCGCCAAATACCCAGTGCTCCGCGAGGGTATTAGTTTCATGCGACGCGGCCACGCAACCCGCTGGTGCGATTTCCTTCCTATTCTGAAATGGCACAAGTGATATCTCCGCTGCTACAATGCCGAACCCACTTGGCCTGCATAACCCAGCACTATCCCACTCGTGTCCAAAATCGCCGCAGTGAACAGCTAGCTCCTCTCGCTCGCTGCAACATGAGTTGATCTCCCATGAATCCCCAGAGCGAACATGGCAATCCATTCGAATGGTGTGAAGAAGTGTGACATGGACCTGTACTCACCATGATAACCATTGCACGCTGATCAGATATTGCAATTTCTCGCGCACTCGGTGAATCAGACGCAAAGAAAATACCCCAATCATCGTTTGCTTCGAAAGTCTGATGTCCCAGTCGGATCGCGCAACCAATAGCATCTGCAACCAGCTTCCTCGTAGTGTTCGAACCATTTGATCCCTCGAAACTGCCATCTCCGAAACGCATGTGCACTCCGAGGTACTGTGCGGGGATTGGCCCGTTATCTCTCGACATGACCAAACGCACCTGGTCCTCCATGCTAGCATACGCCGTTTCAAAACTGAAGAGGTACCTCATCGCACAACCGACCGCGTGGGTCTTGGGCACAATTGTGCCAGACATGTTATAGACGGTCCCTTCCAGAATCTCAAGCATAATGCTAGGGGGCATGTTGGTGTGAATTATGAGGCATGGCGCTTCGTCCAAGATATCTGCGTATATGCCCCCCCAATGTTTATTGCCGCTGGTTCTAGCCCGTGTGCAATTGCCTCTGAAGTTGAGGGGAAGCGCCAAGTTTAGCGCATTGTTCCCCAAAAACGCTCCGAAGTCAGTGTCTTCATGTGTCCAATTCACGAAGAGGGCTCGTCTGGTAAGCATTGCCAAATACAGCGATGTTGATAATCCATTGGATTGGTCCCCAAATCCCCCGTCGTGCGAGTCGAATATCAGAATGCGGGCTTTATCAGACAAGTTTTGCTCGACGTCCTTGCAGGCCTCCCTGTGGAGTTGCCTGTAGCTTACCCAATGCGACGGCTCATCAAGACCGAGATGCCGCGTGGAACAAACCTCAAACTCAAACTTAAACTCATCCATCCGTTGTCTGAACCATTCGTGTGTGAACCATCCGAGCGCGAGGGCAATCGGACATGTGAACACACACACACATACACAAAAAAACCTAAATCCCGAGGCCCAAGGCCTTCCCACTTTGCCTTGAACCGATTCCTCTGCAGAATCGGTTTCGACGTGAAACACATGATGCATGCTCGAAAGGACTGCAAAATGCGCAAACTCTTCCGCCTAAAGTTGCCAGTTTTGGACGACACTGGCTTGAACCAAAATTTCTTGAGCCAAAATGGCTACGGAGCTAAGTGTCGTCACTTTTGGGCTCCTCAGGCTTGATTTATGGTGGAAGTCTCAGGCGGGAGTCTCATCGGTGAATAACTTGCGAGGATGTCTCAGGCGGGAGCCCCATCCCTATGAGGCCCGCACCTCATCTTACTAATTCCAACGGGTCATCCTCAACTTGTAACCGTCGCCATTGTTGGGCCCCGCAGTCCTGAATACAAAAGAGGCCTCAAGCGGGAACCTCGGTTGCAAGTGAATTGCGAGGATGTCTCCGGCGGGAGCCCCCTTCGTATGAGGCCCGCAGATCATATTAGCAATCCGAGCGGGTCATCGGGATACTCTACCAGGCCTAAGGGACACTTGAACACCTCAAGGGCGGGGGCAAACTGTGAGGATGCGAGGAGGTCTCAAGCAGGAGCTTCCTCCATGTTAAGCCCGCACATCATGTTGGTAATTCGAGCGGGTTACCGGAGTGTTCGACCAGGCGTAGCACTTCACCACACTTAGGGGGCAAATCGTGAGGATGTTTCAAGCGGGAGCCTCCTCCCTATGGATCATGTTGGCAATCCAAGCGGGTAATCTGATTAGTCGACCAGGCATAGCGCTTGACCACCCTGACAGGGCAAATCGTGAGGATGTTTCAAGCGGGGGTCCTCCTCCCAATGTGGCCCGCGCTTCATGTTGGAAATCCTAGCAGGTCATCGGGGTAGTCGACCAGGCATCGCCTTTGACAACCCTAAGGGGCCAAATCGTGAGGAGGTCTCAAGCGGGGGCACTCCTCCCTATGGGGCCCGCACTTCATTTAGGTAATCCGAGCGGGTCACCAGATTATTTTGCAAGGCGTAACGCAGGGGCGTCCGGATCGTCCGGAGGGGGGGAAATAGTGAGGATGTCTCAAGAGGGAGCCTCGTCTGTGAGTGGATGGCGAGGATGCCTCAAGCGGGGCCCCCCTTGCCTATCGGGCCCGCACTTCATTTTGCTAATTCGAGCGGGTCAGTGGCATACTCTACCAGGGAGCAGCGGAGAGCAAGTGAGAGCGGCAGAGGCCAGCAGATGCCAGCACGGACTAGCACACACCAGCCTAGGCAGCAGACACCAGAAGAACACATCAGAGAGCAGCAGAGGCCACTGGAGACCAGCAGAAAACAGCAGACACCAGCAAACAGCACCCGAGAGCAGAACAAAGCAGCAGACATCAGCAAAGCAGTAGAGAGTAACTGAGAGCAGCAGGCAACAGCAGAGAGCAACAGATATCAACACATATCAGCATAGATCCGCAGATATCAACAGAGACCAGCAGACAGCAGCAGACGGCAGAAGCAGAGTGCAGCAGAGAGCAGCCGAGAGCTGCACAGAGCCGCACAGACCATCTCAGGCAGCATCAGACGGCAACAGCAGACAGCAGCAGCAGACAGCTGCAGAGAGCTGACAGCAGCAGCAGAGACCAGCGGAACGTAGCGAGCAGCAGCAGAGAGCAGCGCAGACCTGTAAAAAGCAGCACGCACCTGCAATCACAAGCAGGGTCTGGCAGACAACAGCAGAGAGCAACAGAACACGGCAGAGATCATCAGAGAGCAGCAGACAGAGCCGCAGAGAACCGCGAAGACCAGCAGACAGCAGCATACACCAGCAGACGGTAGCAGAGAGTTTCAGACATCAGACGGGAGCATATTGGAGCAGCTGACACCAACAGAACTTAGCGTGCAGCAGTAGAAAGCAGCAACGATCCGCAGAGAGCGGCAACTACCTGTAGTCACCAGAAGGGTCTGACAGAGAGCAGCAACGAGCACAAGAGGCCAGCAAAAGGCCAGCAGAGAGCAGCAGGCAGCCGCAGAAAGTACCAGCGAGCAACATGGAGCATCACATATCAACAAAGATCAGGCCTGAAAACCAGAGAACCGCAGACAGGAGCAACGACCAGCGGAAAACAGCAAACACAAACAGACAACAACAACGAACAACAACAAACACAACAAACAACAGCAGAGGGCAACAGAGACCGGCAGAGACCAACAGACAACAGCGGACAACCGCAGAGAGCAACAACGATCATCAGGGACTAACGGAAAGCAGCACAGACCAGCAGACTGCATAAGAGAGCGGAACATCACAGCAGACAGCCGCAGACACAAGCAGAGAGCAGCAACAACCACCAGCAGACAGACGCATGTTGCCTGAGCCTTCAACATAAGCACAGCAGAAAGCAAACGAGAGTATCAGAAACAAGCAGAGAGTAGCGTGCAGCCTCAGAGAGCAGCAGAGACCCGCAGAGACCACCGACAACCTCCAGTCACCAGCAGGGGCTAGCTAATATAGATGTGCAGAGAGCAGCAGAGAGCGGCAGAGAGCAGCAAATAACAGCTGACAGCGGCAGAGATCAGCAGAGACCAGCAGGGAACAGCAGAAAACAACGCAGACAAGCAAGTAACAACAGCAGAGGGCAGCAGACAGCAGCAGAGAACACCATGGACAGGCAATAACTTGCAGAGACCAGCCACGAACAGCAGAGAGGAGGTCGACTCGCTGGACCCCGCACATTGCCCCGACAAGGAGAAACCCAGGGCGACGATGCACCAGTACGTCTCCATGGTAGCCATACATATGGCGCCAAACATCGAAAGGATTCCCCCTGGCGCGCGAGGAGAAAAACCTTGGCAGCAACGGAGCGACGCGGCCGCGCAGAGAGCGCACCTCAAAACGACGACTGGTGGAGGCGCCACTCAAGACGAAGGCGCCATGGCGGGCGTCGGCCTGGGACACCCGGGCGCGTCTTCCTCGGCGGTCTGAACGAACTTCAACCCGACCCCGACATGGGTGCCAGACGGGCGCAGTGATGCGCGCGACGCGCAGGAACCCACCTACAAGTCGCCGCGCCACTGCTTAAGGCGCGCCACGATCGCATTGCACCTCGGTGATTTCCTGTCGCTGAAACCCACCGGCACCATCGGACTCCTGACGGGCGTGAATGGACTCCAGGAGGATGGGCCGCACGAGTACGCGAATCCGCCGACGGTGAACATTCAGCACGCCATCGGGGTCTCTTCTCAAATTCCCTGAGTCTTCGGGCTGACGGGCACGAAACGCTCCAAGCCCGGGGGCCCTCGGATCGCCTTCTTGGGCTGCGCGCGCAGAGGCAATCCATTCCCGCCAAATGTCTGGTCTGCCTGGGAGACGTCGGCCTCGGACAGCCATGGCGTCCCGGACCCTCGGCACCAGCGCTAAATTTTTCGCCGCGAAATCGGCATGGGCATTTACTGGGAGACGCTGACTAGGTGGATCAACACGCGCGCGCTCGTCTCAGCGGGCCTTTTGTTTTCCTGCAGGCCGTTGACAAGTGCAACGCGGCTCAAAGCGATCCAGACGTGGGCTGGCGCCTCCTGAATGTCCCGAGCATACACAATACGAAGGACACCAGCGGCGTGTTACCGGCACGCGTCGGCATGGAGGTTCGGTTCAAGGCCGCGCGGGTGGAACTGAAAAAATACAGCGGGGCTCGTGCAAAAACAACGGGCCACCATCGTGTCGTTCGGATGTCACCGCGAGCAAGCGGAAATATGAATATTGCGCTTCAAGCCAGTGCTTTCGGCACCGCTATTTGCCGCTAGCGCGGTTTCGAGGACTCTCCGGTGTACAAGGAAGTCGCCGAACTGCTGTTACAAGGTGCCGAAAGCACTGGAGACGGCGAGGCCCCAGCGCGGGCGAGGCGCTGCTCGTGCTCACGCCCAACGAGCAACATTTAATGTGGCAGGGTTCGGGATCGTGCGTCGCGCGCCGTTCGGGGTTCACCCTGGCGCGCGCGTCATAACTCACCTCCGCGCTGTCGCAGGGCCAGACGCTGAGCAAGGGCGTCGCCATCGAATGTGCCAGGGATGAGGACGCTGGCCGCACGGACATGTCGGACGAGCAGCGGTAGCTGCACTTCTGCGTCATGTTATCCCGCGCCGCGTGCATGCGGAACACGATGCCCCAGCGGCCGCCCGCGCGAGAGCTCTCGGAGCGCGGGCCGCCAGCGTTCGACGAGAGAGCGGTGAGCCCTAGGGCTGAGGCGGGGCAACTCGCAGCAGGGCTGGGCTTCGCGTTTCCTCCCGCTTGGGCGCGGCCGCGATTTGCTTGAGGCCTGCGGGGTTGTCCCAACGGCTAACTCCCGCGCCCCGCCAACTCCCGGGGCATGTCCCAACGGCCAGGCCCGCAAACTTTTCCCAACGTCTTCGCGATCTGGCCATCGGGGAACGCGCCCATGCCGGCCGTGGCGGCAAGGGCGCCGAGGAAAACCGACTTGCCCCGGCCAGGGAGCAGGGGAGGTTATGGAGTGATCATGAAGCGGACGGCGAAGAGGAAGAGGAGGATGAGAAAGAGGAGGAACGGGGTAGAAGGAGGAGGCGGAAAAGGGGAGGACGACAAGGAGCATGAGGAGGCGACGGAGGGCGAAGATGACGAGTTGGAGGAGGAGGTGCAACAGAGGGCGGGAGGAGGACCTCCGCCAACGCGAACATCAATAAACGAAAGACAAAGTACATATAGTTTCGTGCGGGGTCCTACGGTCGGAGTGGTCCGACAGGAACGGTGGAAAGGTCGACACATTTCTCAATGTGGCGCACCTGGTGCGCATGGCCACCGCGCACCAGGTGCGCCACGTTGGTTCCCACTGTCGTCGATGGCAGCCCTGTCCACGCTGAGACTCGGGTGCTGCTTTAATGTGTGAGGAGTGCGGGTGGGAATGAGCGAGACGGTTTGTTGCGTGTGGGTACATTGACCCCTTCCCTTGCCCCCTCCCTTGGAACTGGACGGGGATTTCGCGATCCATGGAGCGTTCAAGAAGACTGCGGCGAGCAGGTACACACCATTGATTAGTTACTCTGGTTTTGGGCCAATGTGGATGCTGGGGAGACTCCAATTTAGCCCCCCCCCCTCTTCTTCCATCGATAACCTCCGAGATGGCCCGAAGGCGGCCCCCAAGGCTCCCAAGAGCGACCCACGAGGGCCCCAAGAGGTGCTCCGGAGGCCCCAAGAGGCCCCCACGAGGTACCCAAGAGGCTCCCAAGAGACCCCATAGAGGCCCTGAGAGGCTCCCCTGAAGCACCCAAGACGCTCCACGACCCCCCCTGGGACCGCCAAGAGGCCCTCAAGACGCCCCAAAAGGGCCCTAAGAAGCTCTCAAGAGACGGCAAGACTCCGAGAGTCATCCAAGAGGCCTCTGGCCTTTCTGGTCGCCCTCTTCCTCCTCCACATCATCCGCCTTTTCCTCCTCCTCCTCCTCCTCCTCCTCCTCCTCCTCCCTCCTCCCTCCTCCCCCTCCCACTCCCACTCTCCCCACTCCTCTTCCGATTCCTCCTCCATCCCCCCCTCTTGGGGTATGACGTCTTACCCAGCCAGTTATTCCGCTGCATGCTTCTCGACATGCCTGATCAGGGCAATTCGCCTGGACATCGTTTCTGGATGGGCTGGTTGGGTTACGCGAGGCGTCTCGAACTTTGGATCCGCCCTTCTGAGACCACGATTCCTTGTTGAAAATTTAGATCCGCAGCCCCGAGCTTCCAAGATGGCCGAGGCAAGCAATCAGAGAGGCCAAGACGGCGCAAGAAGTCTCCCAGGACGGACCACGATCGCTCAAATGCAGACCAATATGGCTTCAAGACGGCCCGAGAGCCCCCCGTACGGCCCAAGCACCAATAGGGCCCGCTGATGCAAATATTCGCCGATCCTTTTGGATTCCTCGGCGTGTGAGATAGCTGCCCCTCTCCAAAACCTCTCCCCTCGGAGCCCCGTCCGGCCGATTTGGAGAGGGGGAGAAGCATGCGGAGACCGATCTGTGCCAGGAAAGCTCCCAGGCGCGCAAATTGTTCTCAAAGGACGAGAGCCCAAGGAGGACATCCAAGAGAGCGCCAAGAAGCAACTTGCATGTGAGAACCCTTGGACCGCTCTCGCCAAGGCGCAGCTGCTGAAGGCGTCCCGAGGCCAGAAACCCTCCAGGAACTCACGAACACTACCGGAAATCTGGAACCTCGGACCTCACCATTTAAACGACGCGAACGGGTCCGTGAAGCTCCCCGCCTTCCGCCTTCCTCCTCCTTCTTCTGCCTGACGCCTCCTCCTGCTCGGTCGGTCGGAAGCTGAAGACTTTCGAGTTCACCGCCTATCCAAATCTCTCCTTCTCCTACTCCTCCTCCTCCTCCTCCTCCTCCTCCTCCTCCTCCTCCTCCTCCTCCTCCCAAGCCTCCTCCTCCTCCTCCTCCCTCCATTTGTTCCTCCCTCCCTCTCTCCTTCCCTCCCTCCCATCCCTCCCCCCCTCCCCCCCCCTCTCATCGCCCCTTCCCCTCCCTCCTCCCCCTCCTCCTCCCGCTCCGCCACCGGTGCCCCCCCCCTCACGCTGCAGGCACGGGTGGGCTGCGCCGCGGCCTCGGCGCCGGTGGCCGTCCGCGCGACCTGCGGGGGGGGGAGCAGGTCAGCATCGAGTCGGGAACTCCGATCGAAGCGGAGTGTGTGTCGGATCGGCCTGCATCGGAAGACGAAGCCAGGGCGAGGACAGCACCGAAGTCATAAACCCTTGTGAAGTATTCGATATTCGCGCTTTCTTGAGGCCCCAATCCTTCGTAGGGGGCCCCCAGAGAGGTGCACGAGGCCTCCGAGACGGCCCACGAGTGCCCCAAGGCGCCCAAGATGGTCCCAAGACGGCCCAACAAGCTCCCAAGAGGCCCCTGAGAGCTCTCAAAGAGCACCCGCAAGAGGGGCCCAAGGGGCCAACATCTGCCAATCGCCTTAGGTTTTTGAACGATTTTTGCACGCTCATTATCTCCAGCGGCCCCCGTTCGGAAATCCGACGCTGCTTCACGACGGCGCCCAGGCCTCACCACAGAGCTCCCGCGTGCCCCATTCTCCGAGGGAGGGGGCCGGCGGCAAGGGGGGAAACGCTTACGTATGGATGAATCGAGAATGTCTGATGTCTGGCAGTTCTGGAGGCCATATCGGCCGCGGCGGCCTTCTCAGAGCGTTCCGGAACGGCTGTACCTTCGTCCTGGCCCCGCCCGACCAGCGCAACGCAGTCTCTTAGGGCCACCTCGGATCGCCAGAGCATCGGACTCGGAACGGAAGCAACAGGCGGGGATCGATGTCGAAACGGACCAATGCAGGGGCCCTGGGACACACAAATAAATACACACAAATAAAACGATCCCCAATATTTTCCTGTCTTTTCTGGGTTTTTGTCTTCCCAACCACTTCCCATTTTTTCTCATATTTTCGGGGAAGTCGAATATTAATTGTGTCTGTGTGTTTTTTCCCGTCCTGAACCAACCCGATCGGCAGGGACCATGCCTATCGGTCCCAAGAAGTGGGCAGCAACGTGAGGTAGGAAGGCGCTGAGATTAGACAAGGTTTCCGCCCGCCCCCTGAAGAGGGAGGACGGACAACCGCTCGCCGCTCGCCTCGTGAAGCAGTAACAGGGGGCGAAGAACGACAGAAACATAACAAGTCGGAGGTCCACGCGGATTTCTCTGATCGGCGCTGGACACCCCTCCCTGCCGGCGTCTCCGGCGTCGCCCCTGGCGCGCTCCGCGCCTGACGCACACACCAACAAACACACTTCCCACGACCCAGGGGCACACTTGGACTTTGATTGACCAGGACCTTGGCGCGAGAGAGCGGCAGGCCCTGGCCTCCTCTTCCTCCTCCTCCTCCTCCTCCTCCTCCTCCTCCTCCTCTCTCCTCCTCCTCCTCCTCCTCCTCCTCCTCCTCCTCCTCCTCCTCCTCCTCCTCCTCCTCCTCCTCTCTCTCTCTCCTCCTCCTCTCCCTCTCCTCTCTCCTCTCTCCTCCTCCTCCTCTCTCCTCTCCTCTCTCCTCCTCTCTCCTCCTCTCCTCGCTCCTCCTCTCCCCCCTCTCTTCTCCTCTCTCCTCCTCTCTCCTGCTCCTCCTCCTCCTCCTCCTTCTCCTCCTCCTCCTCCTCCTCCTCCTCTTCCTCCTCCTCCTCCTCCTACTCCGCCTCCTCCGCCTCCTCCTCCTCCTCTTCTGGCCGAGCTTTTCTCTTATTCCGCTCTCTGGCAGGAACTGCCAAGGACTCCCTGCCGGCAGCGGCCTGGTGCCTCCGAGGGCGAATGGCCAGCCGACGAGCCGTGACAGGGGCTGGTGACGTGTCAATGGCTTAATCAATGGCCGAAACGTGTTGTTTAGGAGCCGACCTCGCAATCATAAGCCTTCGGCCGGTACTCAAGCCAGGCACGCGGAGCTACAGACAAGAATCCACACAGTCCGACGCACAACGTTGGTGTGCTTGATTGCGAAGGTGACGATAAATGATAAATGAACAACATTGTTACATTTGTTCACGTCTATATCACGTTCGCGTCGTAGCTTGACTCGAAATACTTATCGCAGGGAAGGGGCGGGTGAGCCGGAGGCTAGGGTGGCGGAAGGGGTGGTTGGGTGGGTGTCCGATGAAGAACTCGCCCTCGCTCGAAGTCCCTTTCTCACACATGTTTCGGTTTCGTGCGCGCGTGTGTTCTCGGCGGCGGGCGAGGGGGGGAGTGAGAAGGAGAAGGCCCCGCGCCTTCTTTGGGGAAGGCTCGGAAGACCTCTCAGAAGGCCAAGGATTTCCGTCCCTTCTGAGAAAGCCTTCTCCTTCTCACCCCCCCGGGCGGACCGCCGGTATTCCTCGTAGGATGATCCAAGGTCCCTCCTCGCCGGAAACATGCACGCGTCCGAACGATGCCAAGGGAACGCGGGACTGGCGAGGGTGAGCGAAGAAGGGAGGGGGGGGGGGGGCAGCGAGGGGAGCGATGGGGAGGGCAGAGCAGGCGAGGAGGTGGGCGAGGGGAAAAAGGGGAGGGAGGGGAGGGAGCGGGGGGGGGAGAAGGAGGAGGAGGAGGAGGAGAAGGAGGGAGGAGGAGGAGGAGGAGGAGGAGGAGGAGGAAAAAGGGAGGGGGAAGAGGGGGAGGAGGACGAGGAGGAGGAAGAGGAGGAGGAGGAGAAGGAGGAGGAGGAGAAGGAGGAGGAGGAGAAGGAGGAGGAGGAGAAAGAGAAAGAGAAAGAGGATGAGGAGGAAGAGGGGATGGAGGTTGAGGAGGAGGAGGAGGAAGAGGAGGAGGGCGAGGGGGGGCGAGGGGGGAGAAACATGTTTTCACCGGCCGGATGGGACCCTTCACCGGCCAGATGGGACCCTTCACCGGCTGACCGGCTGGTCGGCTGCCGGGCTTCACCGTCTGACCTCGCCTCGCCGGTACGCACATGCTTGTTGGCGGTCGTGGGCCCGCTGCACAAAGTAGAGTGCCCAGTTCCAACCCATGGGCGCCACGGCCAACTGAGGATACAGCCGTGTCCACGGCGCCGCGCGGCGGCCGTCAAGCTTGCTGATCCCCAGCTCGCCAGCGGTCACCGCGGGCAGGCAGAAGGGCGGGCGCAGGTAGGCTGGCAGCTTGTGCTGGTAGAAGGCGTTTTGCACGTCGACCCCCGCGAAGTAGAGCGAGGTCCCAGGCGGCGCCTCAAGATCCGTGAAGCCCGCGGCCGAGAAGAGACTTACGGGCGGAGAAGGCTGAAACCGTTGGTTGCTCCTCCTGCAATCCAAAAACATTATGATACGGGAGTCCTTCTTGGCGACGAAGAACACCCCCACGTCCTCGACCCGAGTTTTACCAGGCACGAAGACGCCTCTGGAGATCCCCGACTTCGCAAACTCTACGTACAGCGTGCGGCCCCTCTCAAGCAAAGGGCCCATGTATAACGTAGGCCCCCCGTCCTCCTCCACGACTGCGTCAAAGCTCTGGGGCGGCAGCACCAAGGCGTGGTCGAGGTCAAGGAGTGAGCATCGATCGCGAGGCCCGAAGCGGTCAGCGAGCCAGCCAGGCTCGTTCCCCAGGTTGGGCCAGCTCACGAGGTGTGGCTCATATGACCTCAGTGGTAGGTCGTTGGACGTGTCGTAGTGTAGACACGGGCGGCCCAAAAGCTCTGAGCAGGCTTCCTGGGCCGACGCGCCAGCGGGCGCCTCCATCTGACGGGCGGTAGAGGCCGTGAACGTCGTCCGAGAGGCGCTCTGGCGTGCACTGCGGTGTGGTGTAGCCCCCAAGCAGGTTGAGGCACTCCGCGGTGTCCCGATTACGCTCCTCTATGAACTGAATACGGTGTAATCGCGCCCGAACCGAACGGGAAAGTCCAGGCGAGGTGGGGAGGCAACTGGCGCAGCAGGCGCCGCAAGGGCAGCATCCCATCGCCGAGAGGTGGGCCATCAATCACCAGGCCGGCAAAACTGGCTCTCCAGAAAACGCGGTCGGGTCGAGCGACCTCCCGACCGCTGCCCCCAGTTCACCCCTGTCCCTTCTTGCCAGAAGAGGCGCTCTTCTCACCGCGCGCCTTCCTCCGCTGCTTCTGGATATCGGTCTCTTTCTTGGGCTGCTCGGTCGTGTACTTGGCGAGGCCTGGGGGGACTGCCGCGCCGCGGCAGGCACCCAGCTTCGAGCGGCCGATGTAGTGCTCGACCCCCCCCCCCCATCTTCATGCTGCCCCTCGTCTCCCCCGCCAGCTGGTAGGTGCGCCCCGCCAACTTCATGCAGGCCAGATTCGAGCCGTCGGCCCGGTCATACGTCTGCGCGAGCTCAATGGAGAGCCCCGGGAGGTCGTGGAGACGGGCGGCCGCCGAGTCTGTCGTGCAGCTGCTCTCGCTCATCCACTTGGTCTGGCGGCCGTCGGGACTGCCGCCAAGCTCGATGATGTACTCGCACAGCCGCTGGTAACTGCGCTCGCCCGACAGCGGGAAGTCGTCTAAGGTCTCCTGATGCGTCTGGCTCACCGGCTCGCGGAGCTCTCGGTGCCGCCGACCGCCCCGCGTGTGCGTCAAAGCACACAGCAGGCGGGCGTCGTCATCTTCTCCGCCAGTGGCGCGCGCGATAGAGGAGGTCGGCACCAACTCCATGGGCACAATGACGCCTGCCGAAAGGCCATGAAGGGCACTCTCGCTCCACAGCGCATCTCCGACACAAGGTGTGATCTCGTCATCCTTCTGGGTCTCGCCCGTCGCTGACTGCGCCAAAACCCATTTCATGCCCGCCGGCGGTGCCACGCGGTGATAGGAGCCAGGAACGTCCCCAAAGCTGGCCGTCGTTCTGCAGCCCAATATTTCGGCGTCCTGTATGTAGTACAGTGGCTCCGAGACGGCAGGATCTGCATCCCTGGCGGCGCGCTTGGCAGTGCGCTCCAGCCGCAGCAGCTCCGCCTCCGCTGGGAGGGCACGGAAGCGGTACACCCGTCCCGCGGGCCGCTGGCGAGCTGGTGTGTCGTTGAACGTCAGCCACGCCATGTCAGGTCCATCGTCGCCGGCTTCGCTGGCGAGCTCCTCCTCGTAGACGTCACCGTCTGGCATCAACGCGCCCGTGAGCGGTAAACCGTAGGTGTGCACGTTGAACGAGCCCGCGTCCGCGCTGAGACGGATTTGCTCCTCCGGCAGCTGCTGCACGCGCCCCGCGGGCGTCCCCACCTCCCCGTAGAGCCGGGCGAGGTCCGCCAAGCAACCCGAGAGATGGCGAGCGCAGGCGGGCGCCCGCTCCGCCTCGCGCGCCGCCGCCTCTGCCGCCGACGCGGAGGACGGCTGTCCAGGATGACCCCCGCCGCCGCCGCGGCGCACAAGCCCAGGCCACCAGGCGTCCAAGACACAGAGGACACCAATGGCGGCCCACGCGGAAACTGCGGGAACTCTGGGAACGCTGATCCGCATAGAAGAGTACAGGCGCTCCCTGGAGGTAAAAGGCTTGAGCGAAAAAACGGACTCTGTGCTGCACCCCCTACACGTTCGCAGGACAAGTCTCATCTTCGTCGTCGTCGTTATCGGCATCATCATGGTCATCGTCACCAGCATCGTCATCATCATGGTCGTCGTCATGGTCATCGTCATCATACACTATTATCATCATCGTCATCACCATGCCGATCACACTTCGCCCGCCTCGAAGCTTCTCCTGCTCCTGATCATCTTGTCATGCTAATGATCCCCTTCCTCCTTTCCCTTCTCCTCTTCATCGCTATCGTCGTCGTCACCACCGCCACCACAATCACCATCGGTTTCATGTCCTCCGCCAACACAATGTGGAATGATGCGTCACATGTTACGGGTGTCCCCAGCCTCGGGACAAGACATCTCGCCCGTTACGGCGCCCCATCGAACAGTCGCCACCCCAGGTGTTGAAATGGCGCGACGGCGGGAATTGCCGCAGGCAGCTGCGCGGCATGGAACAACATCCAATGCCAGCACAGAGAAGGCAACACAGCCATATCCCAAAGTTTACCCATTCAGTGCGCCTGTTGAAATATGGTTATGTACATGTATCGCATGCTTACATGAGGTACCCTTTGGCATGACGTTTGCCTTGGCGAGAACTCCACCGACCTCTCCTACTCTGTCCTGCTCCTACGCATCCCCTTCCTCCTCCTCCTCCCACCATGCATGCCACGTTGGTACACGACCAGAATTGGTCTCTTCACCGGCCTCCAAAAAACAACAACAACAAACAATTACTTGCAGAAGCGGTTGTGGCAACCCTTAGCACTCCACACTCGCTCTTGGTGGCGTACACGCGAACACTACAATCAACTTTCCATTGAAAGACGTAGCCGGTGAAACACCCAATCAGCCGGTGAACGGATCAGCCGGTGAAGGGTCCCATCTGGCCGGTGAAGGGTCCCACTTGGCCGGTGAAGAAACCAATAGCGGCGAGAGGGGGGAGGGATGGGGAGGGAAGGGCGGGGGAGGCGAGGGAAGCAATGCAAGGAGAGGCGAGGGGGGGGGGCGGCTGCTTGCTTGGCGGAAGAGTGCCCGCGCCGTGCCCGCGCGCGGGGCACGGCGGGGGGGCCCTCCCCAGGACGGGGGCGCCCGGTGCGGAGCCGTCCGGTGCGCAGGCACAGGCAGCGGGACGAGACTCCAGCTCCACACCCCAAGCTGGAGGGGGGAGGGGGGGGGGAGGAGGGAAGGGCGAGGGGCGGCGAGGGGGAGAGGGGGGTGCGAGGGGGATGAGATGGGGGGGGGGGCGGGCGATACGGCATCGGGGGCGTCCAAGACGGGGGGGGGGCGCAAATTATGGCCGGCGGCATGTGCGCATCCCAGCGGGGGGGGGAACTGGGGACGCCTTAAGATAAAGAGAGGCGCCACGAACTCTGGGAAGATATCCTGGCCGCGGCCACGATATTCACTCCCCCCCCGCAAGTCATCCCCCCCTCCTGTCCGCCCTCGAACGGCAAAGGGGAGGTGGAACGGGGGGGGGGCGGAGAAGACGCGACCCTTCGCCGTCTGCGCTTGGGATGGTGGGCCGTCCCCCGTTCCCTGGGGGGGCCAGCAGAAGCTGAGGCAGCGGCTCGTCGACAGAGGGGCGCAGCGCCAGAGTTCCGAACGAGCCCAGGGCGAGGCTCGGCTCACGAGCGACCACGGCTGCGCTCACGCCAGCCGCTGCGCAGGACTGGGGTAACGTTAGAGGTCCGCATGGCACGTGCTGTTGGCATCCTCTGGGCATCTGGAGCCCCCGGGAGCCCTCCTCGGGGGGGAAGCCTCCAGGGATCTCTCGAGGCCGCGAAGGCCCAGGGTAGACTCCCCGAAACACCCTGGAGACCTCTGGGGGGGGAGGGGCTTGGGGGGGAGGGGGAAGGACACCTCGTGCTTAGGGTAGTCTTTGAGAGTAAGTAGGGTTCCGGCCCGCCTCCTGAAGAGGATGGAGGAAGGAAAACCACTCGACTCTTGAAACAGGGGTGCGCCTGACGTATATTGGGAAGGACGCCCCGCGCTACTTTAGGCTGGCGCTCGAGACGACCTCTTCCAGAGACCAGCGCACGCGCTCGAGTCAGAGTGTCACGCGCGGGTCTCTGCCATTGGAACTTCGTTCATCTTCGAGGTCGCTGTTGGAAATGAGCTCTGCTTCGATCGCCGATCCCTATCATGCAACGGGGAGGAGAGGGCAAGCTGGGTGCGGCTGGGCCACGCAAGACATCCTGCCAATCGTACCAATATCATCCCATTGCAATGTTTTTATATCCACCGGCGGGAATTTTAGCGGCCTTGGACCCCCCAAAGGACCCCTATCGTGTCATGCGCAATGACACAATACGGGTAGCTGCGTACTTTGGAGGAAAAGGTGGCAGATGAACAAGATGATGAACAGGGGGAAGAGGAGGAAGAGGAGGAAGAGGAGAATGATGAGGAAGGAAGGAGGACGGGGAGAAATAGCAGCAGCAGGGGCAGGAGTGGGAGACGCGGGAGGAGCGCCGCTCTGAACGACGGGAGCAAAGCACCGATCCTGAAATGAGGCAAACGCTGCAGCGGGAACACGGTTTCGAATACTCAACAACGCCCAATCGGAAGAACGTGAACCTGGCGCGATCCCAGTCCCGCCAGCCCTTGAAGGCGTGAGTGTTTAGGACGCTTCTTCTTCCAACCTACTTCTTCCCCTTTGGGGAAGAGTCGGTCCCTCCCCCTCCCCCCTTGACCTGGAAGGGGGGTATCGCGACCGATTGGAGCGCCCAAGAAGGCATCGGCTAGATAGCAACAGCACTGTAGTTAAATTATGTGTTAGGCCAATGATGGCCTCCTGAAGGGAGCCTATTCTAGTACCTCCCCTCTTTGATCGACCTCCTCTAAGATGGTTTCCAAGGCTCCCCGGGAGGGGCCCATGAGGCGCCAAGAGGTCCCCATGAGGCTTCCAGGAGACCCCAAGAGGTCCCACGAGGCTGTCCAGAAACACCCAAGAAACTCCAAGAGGCCCCCAGGACCGCCAAGAGGTCCTAAAGACGCCTCAAGGGGATCCCAAGGAACTTTCAAGAGACACCCGAAGAGACTCCGAGAGGCATCCAAGAGGCCTTTGGTCATTCTGTTCTCCCTCCTCCTCCTCCTCCTCCGCCTGCTCCTCCTTTTCCCTCCTCCGTTTTCCCCCTTCCCCTCCCTTCCCCTCCCTCTTGCTCCTCCTCCTCCTCCGCCTCCGCCTCCTCCTCCGATTCCTCCTCCATCCTCCCCCTCTTGGGGGACGACGGCTTCCCCAGCCCGCTGTTACACTGCATGCTCCTCCGCATCCCTGATCAAGGCAATTCGCCTGGGCATCTTCTACTATGCCGAGAACATGAGCAACGCGTGCAACCGCCGCGACCAAAACATCGGGGCAGACCCTGATGTCCGTCTTGAGTACGACCAGGTCACGTACGACGTAAGGGCATCGCTGAACTACGGCTTCCCTCACGACGGACAACGAGAGGCGCGACTGTTCTGCATGGCCGAGCGCCAGACCCACCCCGCCCACCCCGCCCAGTTCGCCAACCGCCAGCTAGCAGTGATGCTGACCTACAAAATCGACGACGACTCAGACGATTTACCGACACCACACGCTATGACTACACAACGGCGGATCGTGCGCATGTCGATCAAGCTGGCCATACGTTGCAATCCGACCTTCATGCCAACGCCATTCACGCGCTTCAGGAGCATAACCACGACAACAACAATGCAAAACACAACCGGGCTGATCAACGCACCAGACCCACGACCCAACGACCACACGAATGACGGCAACAGAGAACAACACAATCGGCCCATTCGCAACCGCAATTCAACCCACCCAATCTCAACTTCGACCAACAACAGAAACCGTCATGCCGACCTACCAAATGTCCAACAACCGACAAACCCACCTCAGCAGTTGCAACTGACACAGACAGGCGAGCACAACAAAATCCATGAACTCCCAAGCCGCAACAGGTGGGCACCCTTGGCAGAGCTCTCACCGCTGCAGAAACAGCCCCACAACCAACGAGCATTGACCAACCCAGCAACCGTCACCAACTTGTTTAAGAACACCGACCCACCGAGAACGGCACCATTGGTCATGACCGACTCTGGCAGCCAGACCAAGCAGGAAGCGAGCCTCACGGGAGGGACCGACCTGGGAAGGTCGACGACCACAAGCAGCTACCAGCAGCCAAACCCCGACGCGACGCAAACCATACCAGCAATCGACCAGCTCGAAACCAACCAGGCCCAATATTCGAGAGCCCATACAAAAATACCCAAACAGACCGCGGCTCCGCTCCCTGACCACTGTGGGGGGTTAGTTGAATACAAACAATACCGCAAGGACCAGCAGCCCGACCAAGCCACGGCAAATCAGGACACTCCCCACTGATTGCCCACAACCTAGAGGCTAACGTCTCTCGATGGGACCAGCCTTACAGCGGCCCGTCAGTGCGCCCACCGCCTCCTCTAGCATGCACAGTTTTGCCCAATTATGCTCCACGACAGACAGGATACGTTGTACCAGCTGCCATTTTAAGACTCCTCATCTCTACACTGTCCTTCGACCGAAAAGGACGCACTCACCGACAGGGTCGGCAGCAACACAACTGGTGGCACCATCTCCAGGCTCAGCCTCCGACGGCAAGCGAACACGGACTCCCCCGAGTCTCAGCACACGGCGACGACGTCAGAATTAGCTACGTTGCGCACTGGGTCCCCGAGGGGCACTCTCACCCACAAGCTATGCTAACTCACCCGACGCGTCATTACATAGAAAGGCTCGGCATGCGTAACCAACGACAACAAACGCTATGATATCTTGTTGGTTCCTGCGGGGCGTTATCACCCACCAACTATGCTACTTCACCCGACGTGCACGATTAAACTAGGCCTCCACCAAACTCCAACCTTCCCTATCCCCGGGTTTCCTTCTCCTACCTCCACTCCAACACCTTGTATTTCTAGCAGCCGCAGCTACGACCTTCGGTCGCCAGCCACAACTGACGGAGGGTGTCGGGTTTTCACTTTGGGATGGGGGGCTGCAAACTTACAACGCGCCATCGCCAAGGATGGCATAAACCTCCCCCAAACGGGGGTGGACCCCACAAGCGGGCACCGCTCCCGTGATCAGGTGGACGCTTCGGGGGGGGTCCGCTGCGAAGGTGGAGTGGCCCTTATGCCGTCCACCTGGGCGAGAGTGGCCCCCCCCCCTTCTCGGCGAAAGTGGGAGGTCCAACCACTGCCTGGAGGGCACAAGCCCCCCTCACGCTCGGTGAAAGCTCTACCAGGCGCCCCCAAGGCCAACGCGCTGGGAACCCTACGCCTGGTCCCAGGTGAGGGATCCCGCCTTTGATCCAGGGGGCCCGGATCTTGTTATGTTTTCCTCGGACTGGGCACTTCACCCCAGCTGTGCCTGAACAGAAACGATGGCGGACATGCAGCGAGAAGCGAGCACGAGAGGGGGCGGGCAGGAAGCCGAAGAGGAAGAGGAAGACAGACGTGGGAACCTGCATGGCTGGAGTTTACTATCGCTGTGGACAAAATGCGATTCAACCCTCAAATGAGGTTCTTAATCTCCTCACAGCCGGTGGTTGCATCCACTTGGCTCTTTCGTTTCACCCGCCCCGCAGGCCCGCCCGGCCGGGGGCGGCAATCGGAGACCCTTCGCGACGTCAGAAATCGAGAGTCAGACGGAGGAGGGTCGACACCGTGGAGTTCCCAGCTCTCCCTCCTCCTCCTCCTGCCTCCTCCCGCCCCCTGCCTCCTCCCCCTCCCCCTCCGCCTGCGCGGGCGGCGGGTCCGTCAACTCGCCCGCGCCCCCTCGGAGCTTCTGGGGAGCGTTTCCCCCCTGGGGTTTTACCAGGAGTGCCCCTGGCCCAAGCTGCCCCCAAGATTTTTCGGGGAGGCCCCTTCGGCCTCCAACGCACCCCATCACGAGGCCCAGAGGGCCCCAGGGGCTCCACAGTGGAGCGAAAAGCTGGCAGTACAGCCGGCCCGGACCGTATGGATCCGCGATAAGGATGCAAGGGCCTTGGCCGCCCACTTCGAAGCTTTTCGAGCGGGGGGCGGCCAACGAAAGTGGCCAAGGATGGACCGAGGAGGCAAGGATGCAACAGGTACCCTCGGGAAGGTCGCCCATCCTTCGTATGCGGGTTGAGTGTGCGTTGGGCCAAGGGCACCTTTAGCAACCCCCGACTCCCCGCCCCCGCCCCGAAGCGAAACCAACGCCTCAGAATCTGCGGAGACGCCGCGGCGCGACGACAGGCCTGCCGCAGCACCAGCGCGAGGCCGACGAACAGCACGGCGGCGGCCAGCTGTGGGCGCGGCCGCCCGCGGCCGTCCGCCGCCGCCCGTCGTCGTCATCGCCGTCGCCGTTGTCGTCGTCGGCGGCGCCGCCCGCCGCCGCCGCCCGCTGCCGCCGTCCTCGGCGTCGCCGTCGCCGTCGTCAGCGTCGCCGTCGCCGTCGTCAGCGGCTCAAGCGTTGTCGGCGTGGTCGTTCTCGCGGTCGGTGCCGTCGTCGTCGCCGCTGCCGCCGCCGTCACGTCCCGCAAACAGGAGGAAGATTCCCAAGATAGTCGAACATCACCTGGGACGATGATCTGACTGCGCCTGACTAATTGTTGTTGGATCTTCGTCTGACTAGTTTTGATCCTTCAACTCGCCTGTATCGGCAGTGGACAAGCCTCCCTTTAGTACACCTCTCCTTAGTGAAAACAACCTGGGACCGAACCCGCCGGCCCTGGACCCGCCGCAAAAATGACGGCCGCGACGCCCTCTCGCGAACCTAAAACGGCCAATCCGTTAATCGACGTGTCAGGGTAGGAGGCCTATCCACGTCCGACCGTAGGAGGACCTGCTCGACCTGACTCGCGAGGCGCGATGGCCTCCTTGCCCTCGAAGGTGCCGACGACGAGGGCGGCGACGGCAAGGGCGACGACGGCGAGGGCGCGCGGCACCCTCTTCGGGGATGGACAGACCTCCCTTTAGTAAAACGTGGTTTAGTGAAAACGACCTGAGGCCCAAACCTGGCGGGCGCAAGCCGGGAAAATGACGGCCGCGGCGCCTTCTGGAGAACCGAAAACGGACAATTCACTTATCGACGTGTCAGAGTAGGAGGTCTGCCCACCCCCAACCTGTAGCGCCGCCCCCCGTCGGGAGGAGGGCGAGCGCTCCGGCCCGGACCGCAGCGCCCGCAGCGCGGCCACCTCCCGCCGCGCCCCTCGCGGGCGCTCTGGAGACGAGGGCTCCCAACTTCGCGCTCCGCGGTGCGCGAGGTGCGAACAACTTCGCGCTCGCGCCGCCTCCCAGGGGAGAAGGGGAGGATGAGGAGGAATCGGAGCCGAACCGCGAAGCAGGAAGCGCGAATAAATTCGCGCCCTCGAGGGCGCCCTTGTGGAGATCTGGGGGTCGACCGCCGTCGTCGGGACGGGGGCAGTGCTGCCATGGCGGGCGCCGCCGCCGAAGTCGCCGTGGTGCGACGAGGGCCGCCTCCTCTGCTTCCCCCTCCTCCTCCTCCTCCTAATTACGCCTCCTGCCCCTCCTCCCCCTCCTCCTCCCCTGCCTTGTCATTGGCGTGCGTCGGATGCTGGGTCAGCTCCTCCTCTTCCTCCGGCTCCTCCACTCAGAAATAGCAATCTACCGTCACCCCTTGGGGGCGCAAGGCTGTGACGCGTGCTGCTGGACCGCCATCTTGCTTCCGCCGTGCCGTCGTCTGCTTCTAGCTCGCATCCCTCCAGTCCTGTCTCCCCGATGCTGTCTACCCGGGTGGCCCAGCCTACCCAGAAGAAACACCTGGGGTGATCCCTCAACTTTTGGGTGGAGCATGTCCTCCTACAGGCAGATTCGGGAAGGAACATGAAAAATAGTCAAACAATGCTGAAACATAGTCAAACCTAGTCGAAACATCGTCCACATACTATTCGGGCTGGGTGAAAGGGGGGATAGCAAAGGGGGGGGTGAGAATTAGCTCACGTAGCTGATTTTCCCGGCGCCTCCCGGCGCCAGAGGCGGCCATGTATCGACGAATGGGCCCCTCGGTGGGGCCGAAACCAGCTACATGCATCAAACTTCGTAACCCCCCCTTTCCCTATTTCCTTCCTTTCGTCCAGCCCGAACTGTTTTTGGAATACCCCTCCTGTAGAGGGACATGCCCGACTTAGCTCAAGCTCCTGGGCGCTCTCCGCTGCCCCAAGAAGCTTCGGCAGGGACGCCGCTGGGCGGCCAGGGGGGCCGCATAGCCCAGGCGTCCAGGGATTGCCCCCCAGGGGGGCCCCGAAGGGAGCCTCGAGGGCCCAAGACGACAGAGCACATGACCCCAAGACTTAGGTCGGGCCTGTCCCCCTACAAGGGGGTTTGGGGCGAAACATAGTCAGAAATATTTAAATGCTCCGAAACGGTTCTAAAAAAAATCGTCCCCAGACTATGTTTGAAAATCTCTCCTGTAGAGGGACAGGCCCGACTTAACCCAAGACTCCAGACGCCCCCGAAACGGCAAGACATTGAGGCACCACTGCGTGTGTCGCGTGCTTGGCTGGCGCGTGTTGTGCCCTAGCGACTGCCCACGATCGCTTCAGGACGGCTCCCCGGGTCCCCGAGGTTGGCCAAGAAGGTCCCAAGGATACACCCAAAGGCCACACATCGCCCAATCAAGACCACAAGCTGGCCGCAATATGCCCAGAAAAGATGAACCCCTAAGATAATCCCCACCTCGCCATCGCTCGGACGTCCATTCCCCATTTCTCGTTTTTGTGCGTGCATGTTTTGCAAGGTGGCCCAAGATGCTCGCCAGCCGAGAAAAATGCACACGTCCGAGCGATGCCAAGCCACTCCCCGGCTTAACGAGGCAGAGTCGTGCCAAGAGCTCTGGCCACAGGCTCACCGCATTTCTAGTCCGCGCGCGTGGGCTGCCCCTGGGGGTCCCTGGGCGAAACATGACCCAGGAAAGTCCCAACAAGCTTCTTGATGCTCCTCACCCAGCTCTTCTCGCCCTCTTCGATGCTCCTCTTCGCCTCGTCTCGACCTGCTCGCCTTCCTCTCGTCCTTCTCGTTTCGCCTCTCGCTTTCTCGCTCTCCTTGCCCTCCTCGTCAAGGATGCCGGAACTCCCGGGGGCAGCTTTCAGGGCCGTCCAGAGCGCTCCAGGAGCTACCCGAGGGACCCCAAGGGAGCTCCGAGACGGCCCAAGAGTCGGGACCAATAGGCGGCGGGCTCCAAGATGGCCCAAAGAAATGGGTGGCAGGCCCCAAGATGGCCAAGAGGCCTCAAGATAGCCCCAAGATGGTCCAAGAGAAAACTATGAGAGCCTTGGGAGGCTCGACAGAACTTGTTTTCCATGTTTTTTTCCAATGCCCAAGACGGCCCAAGAGGCGCCCAAGATCGCCTCAAGAAACTTTCGGGACGATAACCAAGGGAGCTTCCAGAGGTCCCCAAGAGAAACATCCGAACTGCTAATTGGAGCTCTTTTCCCCGAAGATGACCCTCGAGACCGCCAGCACGTTCCCAAGGGGCCTCCCCACAAGAGGGCCTCAAGAGGCTCCCAAGAGGTCAGAACCATAGATGCCACCAGGTTCTTGAAAGATTTAGGCGTTCCCGCCTTTTCGTCGTCCAAGCGCTCCCAGACTGCCCATGAGATCCCCGGGATCGCCCCTAAGAAGGCCCCAGAGGCCCCCAAAGAAGGCCTCAAGACGGCCCAAGAGGGCCCCAAAACGGCCTCAAGACGGGGCCTAGATGGGGAATCCGAGCGAAGATCTCGAGCCCTCGGCCACGAGGGCCCCCAATGAGGCTTCACGAGGCACCCACAAGGCCCCGAAGAGACCTCAAGAGGAACCTAAGAGGCCCCAAGCGGCCTCCGGGAGGCCCCCAAGAAGCTCCTCACGAGGCCCCAAACCTGCTCCTAAAAAGCACCAGAGAGGGCTCCGAGGAGACCCGCAGTAGCATCCCCGAGAACTCTGACACACAATCCAGGCACAGTGGCGGGATGGGCGCAAGGCCATTATATACATATATATATATATATATGTATATATAAATACATATATATGTACGTACGTATATATGTATGTATATATAAATATGTACATATGCATGTATGTATGTATGTATGTATGTATGCATGTATGGATGCATGTATGGATGTATGCATGCATGCATGCATGCATGCATGCATGTATGTGTGTGGACGTATGTCCGTATGTATATATGTATGCATGCATGCATGCATGCATGTATGTATATATGCATGTATGTATGTATATGGGTATATACAAATATGTGTTTGTATAGATATATGTATATGTAGATGTGCATGCATATGAATATGTGTATGCAAATGTATATGTATATGTATGTGTATGTGTATATGTATGTACATATGTATATAAGCATGTATGTATATGTCTGTCTGTCTGTCTGTCTGTCTGTCTGTCTGTCTGTATATATGTATGTATGTATGCATGTATGTGTGAATGTATGTATGTATGTACGTATGTGTGTGCACGTACACGTTTGTATACGTGTGTACACGTATGTATATGTTAATTTGTATGCATACATATACGTGTATGTATTCATACATGGCATGATTACGCATGTTACGTCGGCACTTGTCTATTCTGCATCTCAATCTCTGCAGGTCGCTCTCACTCTCCCATCCTCTCTCTCTCTCTCTCTCTTTCCATCTCTCACTTTCTCTCTCTCTCTCTCTCTCTCTTTCTCCCTCTCTCTCCGTGCTGCCCCCCTCCCCCCTCTGTCCCCCCCCCCTACATCGATCGGGGGGGCACGGCGTGCGCCCGCCTGCAGCCAGGGCGCGCCCTTCTCGTCGAGGCCGAACTCGCTCTGAAGAGGGCCCTCGCCGCGCGGGCGTGCGCGCGGCGGGACAAGAGGGAGGGGGCGAGAGGGAGGGGGGGGGGAGAAGCGTGTGTGTGGGGGGGGGGAAGCGAGGAAAGGGAGGAGGGAGGAGTAAGGAGGACGAGGAGGGAGGGGAGACTGGGGAGGAGGGGGGAGAGAAGGAGGGAGGGAGGGGAAGGGGGAAGAGGAAGGAGGCAGGAGAAGGGAGGAGGAGAGGAGAGGGAGAGGAGAAGAGAGGAGTGCAGGCATGGCGAGGCGGCGGAGGAGAGGATAATGACGGGGAGAAGGACGAGAGACTGGCGCAGGGCGTGTACGAAAGGAACGAGAGGGAACGAGGGGGGAAGGGCATGGAGGAGGGGTGAGCCCTGTCCAGACAGGAGCGGGTTCGGGGGCGGGCTGGGATGCCAACCGAGGCGAGGAGTCGTGAGGACCTCCTGGTCCCCGGGCTGCGGCACCTCTCTGCAACCTCCTCGGGGAGGGAGGGGCGGGCGGAGGAGGGCGAACCCGAGGCGGGAGGCGGGTAGGAGGGGCGCAGTGACGCGTTTTTTGTTTGCTTGTTTGTTTCTCCTCTTCCCCCCCCCCGAGGGATACAACGTACATCCGGCTCAGACACCTCGAGCCTTCTCCTCACGGGCGGCCACTCGCCGCCGCAAGGCCTCGAGGCGAAGGCAGGGGTTGATGGAGGGGGTAAGGGGTGGGGATCGACGCGCGAGAAGGGAGGGACGAGGAGCAGCAGCGGCAGCGGCGCTCAGCAACCAGAAGGGGGGCAGCAGCAGAAGACGGATTTCCCCTCGACGTCAAGACCGACCTGGACAGGGTGCAAGTCTGAAGAAAACAACTACGGCTTTCAGGGGGTGCGCGCGGGGGCCAAGCCAACTCCGGCCGCGCAGACCGCTGCTACCGCAACGCATCCAACGATCGGGGGATTCCAGCGGGCCCGCAGCAGAGGCCGCTCCGGAGAAGAGCCAATCTGACGCGTTGCCGAGGACGGGGGGATGACAGCATGATCATGTAGCGATTCAGCTCACAGAAACCCGTTTTCCCTGCGCCTCCCGGCGCCGAAGGCGCAAATGTATCAAGGACGGCGCCTGGCGACGGGGCCGAAATCGGCTGCATGCAGCAGACGTCGTGCCCCCCCCCTCCCTTTTCCCTGCCTCCCCCATCCGTCCGTCCCGAACCTAGAGGTGGTGAACAGTCGAAGAGTGGCCGCAGATAGCGCCGATGCAGAGCACGAGCACGGCCCCGCGGAGGTACCCAAAATGAAGATCGCTCCAGGCTGGAAGAGCCCAGACACTAGAAGCACGGGCGTGCCTCTCCGAGCCGATCGCTTGCTCTCGACCCTCGCACCCGCTGTGGCAGGTGGGGCTTCAGAAGGACAACCTGTCTGCACGGCCCCTGGAGAAAAGAACTATCAGCCTCGCACTCGATTCGAGCCCCACCTTGGGATACACCCCCTCTCTACGTATCCTTAGGTCGGGCCTGTCCCCCTACAGGGGGATTTAGGGCGAAAGCTAATAAATACTCTACACATACTCCAAAATTGCAAAAAAAAAAAAATGTCCCCATACTATTTTTCCCCAAACAGCGTGCTGAACGGGGTGCTGTTGTGATAGAAGCTAACTCCGGCCGAGGGAAGTCGGAGCAGAGACAACTTCACAAAAATTTGATGGTCCGGGCCGTTTCGCTTGAGACATCCTCACAACTCTTGTTTCTGAGTTGGCCGGGATTTGCCGTTTCGCCTGAGACATCCTCGAAAAGTTGCGCTCCGGGACGCCGCGCGAGATGTGGTCCGGGCCGTTTCGCTTGAGAAGTCCTCGAAACTCTGAGTCCCGAGGTGCCGTGCGAGAGGTGGTCCGGGCCGTTTCGCCTGAGACATCCTCGAAACTCTGAGCTCTGAGATGCCCTGCGCGAGGTGGTCCGGCCCGTTTCGCCTGAGACATCCTCGAAACTCTGACCTCGGAAATGCCGCGCGAGAGATGGTCAGGCCCGTTTCGCTTGAGACATCCTCGAACTTCTGAGCTCTGAGATGCACTGCGCGAGGTGGTCCGGCCCATCTCGCCTGCCTTGCAATTCTGAGCTCTGAGATGCCGTGCGCAAGGTGGTTCGGCCTGTTTCGCACAAGACATTCTCGCAATTCTGAGCTCCCAGATGCCGCGTAAGAGGTGGTCCAGCCTGGGGGCCCAGAAGACCACCTGTTACATATCCTCCCTGGCGCCCTGGGAGCCCGCCTGAGACATCCTCGAACTTCTGATCTCTGAGATGCCCTGCGCGAGGTAGTCTGGCCCGTCTCGCCTGAGACATCCTCGCAACTCTGAGCTCTGAGATGCCGTGCGCAAGGTGGTCCGGCCTGAATTCGCACAGGACATTCTCGCAACTCTGGGCTCCGAGATGCCGCGCAAGAGGTGGTCCAGCCTGGGGGCCCAGAAGACCACATGTTACATATCCTCCCTGGGACCCTGGGAGCCCCAGGAGGCCCCAGAGAGCTCTAGGAGGCCGCAGGACGCCCAGGACAGGCCTCAGGGGTCCGCAGGAGATTCCCAGGAGGCTCCCAGGAGGCCCCAGGAGGCCCCCTATCAGAACGTGTCAAGTGAATACACATCTGGTGTCGATTCGTTCATTTTTCCTGCTCTTGTGGCCCCCCCTCCATTTTGAAAGGCCCAAGCGGCCATATGTTAGATATCCCTCCTGGGAGCCCCAAGAGGCTTCAGGAAACCCCAGGTGGAGTTCAGGAGGCCACAGGAGGCCCAGGAGGAAGCCCCAGGA